GAAAACGAAATTGGTAGGATAGTACTTGTCAACTCACCAAGTAGTAATCTTTAGTTAGCTATGAAAATCTAAAGATGGGGAATTGGTAGGACAATACTTGTCAACTCATCAAGTAGTAATCTTTAGTTAGCTATGAAAATCTAAAGATGGGGAATTGGTAGGACAGTACTTGTCAACTCACCAAGTAGTAATCTTTAGTTAGCTATGAAAATCTAAAGATGGGGAATTGGTAGAACAGTACTTGTCAACTCACCAAGTAGTAATCTTTAGTTAGCTATGAAAATCTAAACATGGGGAATTGGTAGGACAGTACTTGTCAACTCACCAAGTAGTAATCTTTAGTTAGCTATGAAAATCTAAAGATGGGGAATTGGTAGGACAGTACTTGTCGACTCACCAAGTAGTAATTTTTAGTTTGTGTAGTACTTTTATTTCTAAATTATTCCAAAATTAGATATTGAGTTTTTAGCTTTGTGTTCCTTTTTATAAGTACAAGATTTAATTATCTAAAATGTATCAACAACAGTACTTTGGTCTGAACATTGTAATTTAAGCAAGATAAGGTAGATTTATGTATTTTTTTGTATCCTTATCAGTGGTCACTGGTGGTACTGATGGCATTGGAAAAGCCTATTGCAGGGAACTTGCTGCACGTGGACTGAACATCGTCATCATTAGTCGCAGCATGGATAAGTTAAGAGTCACTGCAGAGGAACTGGGTAAGTTATTTGATATCGTACGATTTCTCATCAGTAATGTTAGAATGTCACTTGTTACCTTACTTATTCTTTGATAAAGTATTTTAAACTTTTTCACCAAAACCATGAGGCAGAACCATGATAAACATTGCACAGGTTTCTCATCCAGGTGTTTAGCCTGATATAGAAGTAGATCCTACCTGCTGTTTTTTTTTTCCATTTATTTTCAATTCATTATCCATTAGCTTGATGCATTGTTTTGCTAACTTCTCAGTTGTTTGTTAGCATGTATATTTGATAGTACAACTGCTTTATGTTTATCCAAACTAGAAAGTAGATAAAATGTAGTTTGCCACAAAAACTTATGGTCTTGGTTCATAGGAACCTTTCTTTAAATCTGTCATTCCCAAAATGTTGACATTGATATTGCATTGTGTTCTAGAGAAAGATTTTGGTATTGTCACCAGCATCATCCAAGCTGACTTTACAGAAGGTACCAGGGATCTGTATTTAAACATAAAGGAACAACTGGGAGACAAAGAAATAGGAATTTTAGGTAATTGTTTCAAGTTCATCTTTTTGTGCTTCTAAAGTTTTTTGTCGAACTACTTAAATACAAACAAGAGAAGATACGATGATTTCCTGTTAAATATCCATCACAACTAGAGGAAGCAACTGTGGAAAAATCACATGATTACTTCATTGTTATAAGATGTACTGTGCTACTTGATTTAAAACATAATGTTTGTACTTCTAATTTTTAAATAGAATACTATATATTATTTTTATCATGTTCCATTATTGTATATTGCTGATGTAGAAGAGTTGATGTAAGCTGTACTTTGCATCTAGTGTCCAGACGAAACATTTCATAATTATCTATTAATATTAGGAAATTCAACAAGAGTCGTTCTTTGGCTCCCTTGGCAATGTGATAATAAAGCTGTGTGACTAACGTTACCCCAACTCGTAGCTCTCTGTCAGTTAGGTGGCCGCATGCTTTGAGTGTCCGGGACTACTATCCTCTGCATCCTTTCGACCCTCTACTTGTCCCAGTTTGTTTTCTTATTTAATTTTATGATCATGTTGAAGTTACATATCACTGGTGGTGAGGAGAATTTGGAAATCACTAGAAAAAAAGAAGTGACAGGGTTCTTGGAATACGTACGAAAGTATTCCTTAAAACACCACAACCAATTTTCTAGTGTGGTCACTGCTGACTATATATGTCTGGAAGAGCATCATGCTCAATTTGAGAGTGTCGAATTGATTTTTTTTTTATTGTTTGCAGGAAAAATATATTATTACTTACATTACAAAACATTTTTTTTCTTCTTAGTAGAATGTAAAGAATGAACAATTTACATTCTTGTCTGTTGTACAGACCTGATATGGCCTGGTGTTTAGGACCCCCCCCATTTGATTACATTATCTTAAAAGTTAGACATTGGTGATTTTGACTAGCTGTCTTCTCTCTAGTCTCTCATAAATCAGGGATGGATAGTGCTGATGGCTCTCGAGTAACTTTGTGTGAAATTCAACAAAAAACACTCATATAAGTTACGTTTGTGTTCATGTGCAACAAAAGAAAACACAAATACAAGTTACGTTTGTGTTCATGTGCAACAAAAGAAAACACAAATACAAGTTACGTTTGTGTTCATGTGCAACAAAAGAAAACACAAATACAAGTTACGTTTGTGTTCATGTGCAACAAAAGAAAACAC